TAAGATAAAAATAAACTCGTCATATTAAAAAAAACGCATGCAATTATCAGTTTTGCTGCGAACGCGATGATGTATATTTTTTTCTATAATAAACGAAAAGCAGACGTTTGTCGATTAGCAAAACAACCCACCTAATTCGGTGTTTCATTATCGAAGAAGACTATACGTGACACGTCCTTCATTATTAATGAAAACTTAGTGACGTCATCGTTTTTTTTTATTAAACTAAAAGATTTTTGCATTTTACGATAAAACGATGTCTGTATGGTTTTTGTAAGCAGAACGCGAGAAATCATTTTTTTTATTCTAAATACGGTAATTTTACTGCTTTTTATTTTTACGCATTCAAGCGCGTTTATACAGAAAACCCATTTCTTACAGTTATTCAACCTCGTGAAGATCGAGTTTCCTATTTGTTAGAGTCTGTCTTTTCTGATGTGTATGATCACCTTTTATTTACAAACAAAAAAGTTATCTTTAACTATAGAACCTGATCTATTCATACAATAATCTTGACTACACTCTATGCAACAATCTTGACTATTCTTGCACAATAAGTTAGACTATATGCTTGAGCAATAACCTTAAGTATGATCTTCTCCCTCATGGCACGACTTTGGTACGTGACATAACACTATTACTAATAGTTTATTTTTAGTTACTCCTCTATTGTTGATTTTCCCTTCCTGAAATAATCGACTTTGATTTCAATCGAATCGACGCCGAAATAAACTTAAAGTTTTTTCGATTATTAGTGCCAAGTCTTCACAAAAGATTGATAACTTGGCACTAGTAATAGAAAAAAACTTTAAGTTTATTTCGACATCGATTCGATTGAAATCAAAGTCGATTATTTCAGGAAGGAAAAATCAGTAATAGAGGAGTAACTGAAAATAAGCTGTTAGTAATAGGAAACTCGATCTTCAGAAGGTTGAATAACTGGAGGAAGCGGAGTTTTCTATACAAAAACCTGAGCAGGGGACTGAGGGCTTGGACAGGGTGGTTATAGAAACAAAACGGTAAAAACAGATTACAAAAATAAGTCTTCAAGTCTCGTTAATGTTAAAGGGGTAAATCAAGAGAAAAATCTCTACGTTTTCACCTCCAATGCACAGTAGACATATAGGCGGACATTTAGCGAAAAATCGAAACTAAGCTTTCTGTAATTTGAATAGTGTCAAATAAATTTCGCTAACTGCTCTATCGAATGACATAAAAAGTTTTGTTCTATGATTTTCTTTATGGAAATATTCGATAAAGAAAAAACACTAAAATAAAGAAATCGATAGAAAAACGGAGGTGAACAGTATAATTGCCCCGTTAGATTAAACTAAAGTCCAAACTGAAGTGGCTTATATAGTATGCACTCCAAATCCGACGAGCGATGAACTATACAACCGAGACACTTTTCAATGGAGAAATCAAATAAACATTCGTGTTGTTTGTGTATTTTTATGCCAAAATGTTTGTCTTGAATTCCTGTATCTACTGTTCATGCGCAAGAATGCGCATATTTTCCTATAGAAAGTTATCGATTTTCTAAAAACCCTTGATTTTTCAAGTCTCGTACGTAAAGTCTAATTGTTTCCGCTCAGGAGCACTTTCATTGAAAGCCGAGGCGTATTTAGAATCAGCACATCAAACTGCATTGAATGATGTACGGCGATTATTTAGTGGCGAAAACTTTTTCTTCGAAATTTTCAACCATGAGGTCCCCCTCAGCTGATTTTTCAAAAAAAAATTGTTTTTCTAGAAATCACTTTTTTCGCTATTAACCACTCGTTAGACTTATGAATAGCAATAATAGAGATGAAAAAAAGGTTTATCCTGCAAAAAACTTATGTCCGCCTGCCTTAGCCAAAAGTGCCCACTGTGCAGTGGATGCTAAGAGGTATACCATTGTTGATTCTACTGAAGAAGATATGTTACCGTATCATATTTAATGGAAATGAATCATCATGTAAATATCTAAGCAAAAGGCAGTAAAGGAACCTGACATGATAGAAAGTTTCCTCAACAGATTATTTTGTTAAAGAAGGCAAGTGTTAATCTAGTAGTTTTTACAAGATACTATGTAAGCATAGCAATTAACTGTAGTGAATAAAAAACTTTATTTTTTCTAAACCATCGGATTAACTACCCGCCTCCAGAAAGAGATCTTCAAGACCATCTAAAAAAATTTCCCAGAGAACAAGCTTTTAAAAATTCTGTAGGAATCCGGTCAAAAATGTGAATTTAAAAAAAATTTCGATAATCACTGTTTTTAACGAAAAAAATTATAATTCATCAGGGCTGTATTGGTCTCATTAAATGTATATTCTGAAACCTGATGACTCTTTACTGTCAAAAAGCAAGAAGTTTCAAAAGTCAAGAAAGCAATGATCGAGAATTTTTAAAAATACTGCAAGTTCTAAAGTTTAAAATCGGCAGAGAGCAGTCTAAAATTTTATTTGCGCAGGTGAGTCTAATTTTTTGTCCGCAGGTGAAAATCCTACGTTAAACTTTCTAGTGCGTCATCCATCTTCACTACCTAAGCGCACAAAGCAATAATGAAACATATGAAATAATTTCAATTTCAAAATATAATATAAAGCATAGTACATAAACTACACCATTCACTAGCCTTTAGAAGAGCTAGATCAACTATACCACGCAATCTTCGATTAAAAGTGTGTAAAAATGGTTGACTTTTCAATAATAAATCTAATTCTTCTCGATCTGTTTTCTATGATGTTAAAGTTAAATCTGATATTATCGTTTTAAAATGACGTAACAACGAAGTATAGAGATAGTCAATACAGATCCGGTTAGAAAAATCGTTTTCGAAAAGATCGGTAATTATTGTTGCCGGAAAATCGGACGAGAATCGTAATTTTATATTGTGTGCATAGGAAAATTGGACTCGTCGATTTATATAACTTCCAGATACGCAGCAAAAAAAGTATGAATTATAGCCCGTATAACCTTTGAATGACGGAATACACGACAAAGCCGGCAAGTCACCGACTATACTATGGTAGCGAACTAAATAAAGAACATTCATAAACACGCCATCATCCACCGATAACACAAAACAAGATGGCAAATAGCAACATGGTTAACCACATACAAAAAAGAAATGTTTTGTATTGGTACATGTACAGAGCGCAAAAGATATCTATTTTGTTTTGAGTTAGAAAAACGAAATAAAAATTATTTGCGCCCGAAGAATTACCATTCTTATGAAACCCAGGGGTGGATGAGGGCATGACTTGAAAAATACTCGTGAAAAATACTCTACCGATAGTAACAATGTATTTCGACGTCTATTACGGATATGAGGCTATAGCTAATAACTGGACAGTCGCTTTGCTCACGATGTTTCTTCAATGTTTTTTAGTAAATGTGACTTATAAAACGGTGGAAAAAAAATTGTGTCCTATAGAAATGCTCGTGCCTTTTCCGGCTATTCTAAATTTCATATGATTTTTTAAAAATACACTGAGCAGACATGCAGAACAACTGAGAGTCAGTTTTTGATATTGTTAGGCATGGTCAACCGGTGAAGCATCTTAAAAGTGAACTTTGACATCCAGACTTCATTCAGGTATGTGTGAATAATATTTAGTGAAAATATAAGCGTTCATATCCGGTTTCTGGCAGAGATCTGGAAGAAGCAACTTTTGTGTGATATCATGCATTTTTATAACCATGTTATAGAAAGTGATCTTGTTCTCCGTAAACATATAGCGTCAGACTCGATTTTTTTATAATAAATAGAATAATGAGTTTTCTATAAGAAATCTAACACCGAATGTGTTTCCGACTTTGGACTTTCCATAATTTCCACAAAAATTGAAACTCAGTTGTCTACCGTGCCGAACGTCTTTTTTTCAAAGAGTTCAAGTCGGTACCAACAGCGACAAGGTAGTGAAAAATTGATCCTAGGCATCATGGAAGATGATCCGATAGAGAAAACTTCGAAATTACTCAATGTATGTATAGGAAATCAGATACACGTAGCTACTGGAAGAGTAATAAGCGCCGAATGTGAAGAGTCAATCGAGTTTTCCGATGACTAATCTTGAGAAGTTCTTCAAGATGAATAAGATTTCAACAACTTTTACTTCGAAACCAATCAAAATAATAGATGCAAATTCCGAAAGCGTATTCGAGAAAGAAGCATAATTAATGGTCCGACTGACGCCGTTATCGGTGTGTCGCGATATCTTACACGTCGGCTTATTCATTTGCCAGTGGTGCAGGACACTGGACTAAGCGAGCGGCTTCAGAAAGTAAAAAAAACGATGCACTATATTTTCCTCTTTCATAGGGATGCATCAATCCCAATTCCAACCAATTCCAATTATTTGAACAATTGGTTGAATTGGAATCGATCAGAATTGGTTAGAAAATTATATTCGAAAATTTCGACAAACTGTCAATAGATTCCGATTCCTTGACCCCGAAAGCCTTTCGTCAAGTTTTTAAAAATATCGGTATTTTTGAAAAACAGGCCCTCCCTGAGCAAAAAAATCGAACTTTAAAAATCCGTTTTCTCGGTGAGAGAAGGCCTGTTTTTCAAAAATAACGATTTTTGACGAAAGGCTTTCAAGGAATCGGAATCTATTGATGGTTTGTCGAAATTTTCGAATATGACTTTCTAACCAATTCTGACTAATTGCAATCTCAACTAATTCCAACCAATTCCAATTAAATAATTGGATCCCTACCGTCGAAAGACTCTTTCTATGATATCTCTATTGAAGACAACTCGTTGTGTAGCACTCAAGAAAAAATAATTTCGATCTCAATTGTTGTCATTCTAGAATACTGATAGAATGCGATTATTGTACAACGGAATGAGTCTCATATTCAAATTAGGTTGCTGTTTAGGTTCTTAAAACATCGAGGCAATTGACGGAACCGATTAACTATGTCTCACAAATCGATGGAAAGATAGAGAGAGTCCAAAATTGTTCAAAGATATATCGTACATGAAGATATTCAGAGCACTGAATTCAAGAAGAAATACTCAAGTAAATATTGAATTTTCCATCTTTGTCTCGTTTTACTTTCTCTATTTTGAACCTTGTTCCGCTTGGTAAGAGTACTTCTTCTTCTTCAGGAAAATTGGAAAAGTGTGATATATCCGCTACACGTGAACACTGTCTGACATGTAAAATAAACAAGATATTTCCAAAGATTTCCGCCAGTTGTCGATTTTTGGTTGCCGATGCAAATGAATGCCAGACTTTTGTTGTGTTCAATGCCGATCTGTATTGTTGAATTTGTTCTGGCGTTAAATTACAACCACGATAGAGAATAACATCATCATAAAATGGTTGTAAAAGTGTTTCGCACATTTTCAGTCCATACGGGTTACAAAAGTAAAACATGAGATAACAAAACGGTCCAAATGTATTGAATTTTGTTCGATCATCGTCTCTCAAAGTTTGATTGACGGCTCGATATAAGAAACTATCTCGCGTATATAGGTAAAGTAAGAGCTGAACAGTTTTCTCCGGTTCTACTTCTCTACCACGAGATGATGAATGATTTTTCATATATTCGGCCAACGATCTTAACTTGTCCGCAATCCATGTTGCTTGAATAGTCTTATTTAATTTTTCACCTTCAACCAAAATGCCTTGTGCAGCAAGTTCAAGTAATTGATCATCATCTTTATACGGAAATATTTCGTAGTATTCTCTGTGAAACTCATCCTGCGGATCGCATTGTGCAAATGGATCCGAAAGTGCTGGTGCTGGAAAAGAAAATCGATTTTGTCGAATGAAATTTTGCACTAGAGAACGTTTGATTTCTACATCTGGGTTTCTTTCATCGTTTTTTCTATTGCCGACATATTGTTTCAAATCGATAAGATACTCATCAATTTCGATATTATCTTGTTTACGAATAAACGCTTCTTCAATTATATCATTGTCAATGTCAGAAAATGTTTCCCATCGGTTATCTTCGTTTATCGATGTAGATTTCCAAAACCATATAGGTCGCAGATTGTCATGTCTGTTCATATTTCCGCAACTTCTGAGATCGTCGGACGATGATCCTGTTGAATTGTTGTCCAGAGTTTCTGCGTCATTTGCATGTTGACTCTTAAACTGTGCCGACTTCGTTGAAGAACGAAAGAGACAACGAGTCAATCTGTTTTTTCGAAACAATTTCAGCATTTTATGCCTTTTTAAATTAAAACCTACAGTGTAAGGAGAGAATATGATGGTGTCCGAGGAAAAAATCCAAATCAATTGAAGTAAAAGAAAAAATGTGTTTGTTTCGGTCTGAACTCGAGAGAAGAACGGAACAGAATAAACAAACTCCAACAACTTACGCTTTTTCTCGCTCTTCTTTTCTATCCAGTTAAAAGTAAAACGAATAGAAAAGGGATACCTCTCACCACTTTTACTTTATTGTGTCAGCTGTCGAAAAACGGTTTTCTCTCCTTTTCGTCACTCGACGACACAACTCTTTGTCGACACACTCTGAAACTGACGAAGGTTTCCTTCGTCAATAGAACAATACACAACATAATGTCTCAATCGACACATGCCACTCTTTTTTTCTGGGACGGTCACATCTTCCATGGCGTCTTTCGATAATAGAGTACAATCAGAAAAATGAAGATATTCACAATATTTCCAGCTAGACCCATGATGAGAGACCAACATATGCCATGTAGAGTCGGTTGATGTAGATGAATGATAACATGATTATTTGTGATACCAGAGTATGATTCTTCTAGTGCAACCAGAATTGAAATAAGCAATGGCAAGTTAGCTATGAGGAGCTTTCATGAAAATGAAGCATAAAAAGAAATGAAAGTGACATTCGCTCTTGATAAGTACTTAGAACTTAGAAAAGAGACTTTCACAAAATTGAATACATTGGCCATTGCGACTTCGATATTTGTTTTCTTCACACTCATTCAATTCGAGCTTCCACCGTCCTCATCTTCACTAT